TATCTCGGAGGCCCGTCAGCCAGCCCCAGCGGGCTCAAGGCCCTCGGCCGGGATGTTGACGCGCTCGTTCGGAGGCGCCGCTGCCGCTGTACAGCGGCTTCGGGTGCGGAGCCCAGCGGTCCCAGCGGGCCCGGCGCGGCCGGGCTCGGGGACGCACTGCACGACGACCCCTACCCGCTCGGTGGCCTCGCGGGGCTCCTCGGCGGGGCGGGCAGCGGCGGCGCGGTCGGCGACGACTCCTCATCTTCGAGCTCGGACAGTGGCATCGACCAGCCGTGCGAGACCGCCCCCAGCGAGGGCCGAGGCTCTCCGCCTAACCCGGGCGAAGGCTCGCCGCGAGCCGCTCAGCCCACCGCGGCGCAGACGAGCGAGCCCAGGCCGAGGGGCTCACGGTGTTGCAGAGCCTGAAGGTCGGCAACGCGTCCCGCGTGTACTTCGAGAAGGAGTACCTGGACTTCCTCATCTGGGCCCGCTCGAGGGGCCTGTCGATCCTCGGGCTGCCGCCCATCGACTCGACCTGCTCCCAGTACCTCGATTTCCTGTTCTGGGAGGGCCACAATCACCACAAGGGGGGCAAGGCCTTCGCGGCGCTGAAGCACTTCAACCCGGGCCTGGGCTTGACTGCGGCGGCGGCTCTGGAGAGGACCGCCGCCGGGCTGCGGGGCTTCCGCAAGCTGGCGCGGGGGTCGACGCGGGCCCCCATGGCGAGGGAGCTGCTGTTCGCGGCCGTGGGCGTCGCTCTGCACCGAGGCTGGCGGAACTTCGCCATCGCCCTGGCGCTCAGCGGGGACGCGATGGTTCGGCTTCCCAGCGAGATCGTGCATACGACGCCCGCGACGCTGGTGGCGCCCGCGCCTCGCTCCGGCCGAGCCGCGTGGAGCCTGCTTCTCTTCCCAGAGGAGTTCCATCAGGTCAGCAAGACCTTGGGCTGCGACGAGGGCGTCGCGCTGTCAGACTCGATGTCCGTGGCCCTCGGCGTGGACCTGGCCAGGCTGAAGCGAGGCCGCCCAGGCGGCAAGCCGCTCTGGGACTTCGACGCGAGGGTCTTCAACGCCAAGTTCAGGACGGTTTTCGACCAGCTGGGCCACCAGGACTGCCACCCGTACCAGGTACGCCACGGCGGAGCCTCGTACCGAGCCGCAGTCCTGGGCGAGAAGCTCGCGGACATCCAGGCCATGCTGAGGCACCAGTCGGACAACTCGACGAAGCGGTACGCCAGGCACGTCAGGTACTTCGCGGAGGTCGGGAAGCTCAGTCCCGAGGTGGCGCAGTTCGGGCGGGATATCGACGCCCGCCTGGGCGACCTGCTGCGGGGCCGAGCGCCGCTGCCGCCGCTGCCGCGGGCTCGCGCGCCGCGCTCCGCGCAGGGCGCAGCTGGCGCGGCGGCGGCGCAGGCGGTGCGGCCGAAGTCCTGACGGACGCGGCGGTGCGCCGCCACTGGCGGGCCGCGCTGCGGGCGGCCCTTTCGGGCTCCCGTAGGCACCAGGTGTGCCTGGACCTGTTCAGCGGCACTGGCAAGGTTGCGAGATGGCTCGAGCGGAAGTCCGACTACGCGGCCCTGCGGATCGACGTGGCTGCCCACCCCGTTTTCGATTTGTCTCGGCGCGTGTGCAGGGCCATCGTGATCGGCTGGCTGAGATCTCGCGTGGTGCGAGGAGCGATGTGCGCTCCCCCCTGCTCGACGTGGTCTCAGGCCTCTCGCCACTTTTATCGCTCACCTGGCGCTCTGAACGGCCACCCTGGTCTGCAGGGCGACGCCGCCGCCAGGCTCCGCATAGGCAGCGCCACATTCCATTTCGCCATGCGAGCCGGCCTCGAGTGCAAGCGCCTCGCCGTGCCTTTTATTTTAGATTATCCCGGCAAAGCAACCTAACAGCGATGTGTAGGAGCATATCTGGAAGCATTCCCCTTAAGATTCAGATGAGAATCCAGTTGTAGAATTGTGCTGTTCTCGCAGTCGTAGTCGCATTCGCGATGACAGTCGCAGTGGCAACGGCAGTCGCAGTCACAGCCTCAGCCTCATCCTGCCTCAGCCTCAGCCTCCGCCTGCCTCAGCCTCAGCCTGCCTCAGCCTCAGCCTCAGCCTGCTTCAGCCTCTCAGCCTCAGGCTGCCTCAGCCTCATCAGCCTCAGCCTGCCTCAGCGCCTGCTCAGCCTCAGCCTGCCTCAGCCTCAGCCTCAGCCTCAGCCTGCCTCAGCATTCAAAATGTGGCCCGGGAATGTAGTTCTGGGAACTCGAAGAACACGAAGTGGCCTACAGTTGGCTCCGGGCATTCAAAATCATGCCCAGGAATGGAGTTCTGGGAACTCGAAGAGCACGAAGTGGCCTACAGTTGGCTCCGGGCATCCAAAATGTGGCCCGGGAATGGAGTTCTGGGAACTCGAAGACCACGAAGTGGCCTACAGTTGGCTCCGGGCATTGGCAAAAATCTGGCCCGGGAATGGAGTTCTGGGAACTCGAAGACCACGAAGTGGCCTACAGTTGGCTCCGGGCATTCAAAATCTGGCCCGGGAATGGAGTTCTGGGGACTCGAAGACCACGAAGTGGCCTACAGTTGGCTCCGGGCATCCAAAATGTGGCCCGGGAATGGAGTTCTGGGAACTCGAAGACCACGAAGTGTGTGACTGTTGCATCCGGTTATTCAGAATGTGGCCTGGGAATGGGGTTCTGAGGAGGTCGACGAGCACGAAGTGTGTGACTGTTGGTGAAAAACGAGCCCGGCACAGGCCCGGCCGGCAACTCCCAACGCCTGCCCGGACCCCCCTGTGGAGTGATCTGTGAGCTCTTTTGAGTCAACTAGAAACCTATCAGTCTTCGCTGTTAGGTAAAAATCCTCGCTCGTCGATGATGTGGTCTCATCCTCGCATGCTGCTGCTCTCCCGCTCCTCTTGTAAAGACGCCAATGTAGATTTTCTGTCAACACGGTACCAGATGGTGGAAGGCTACTCGATTCCGCGGCTGGTGCACCTGCCCCCCCCCCCCCCCCAGCCTCTGCTGTACAAATGCCACGGTCGGAGTGGGCTCTGCAGTAAGTCTGGCCTGCATCACATCACACTTGAGGGCGGCGGGCCTGGGGGCAAGCGGTGGACAGCCATCGCGGAACCCTATCCCGCCCCCATTGTTGCTGCTGCTGGTCTGTGGCTCCACCGCTCCGCCGAACGCCGCCTGTCAGTTCGTTTGTCCAGCCTCGTCTCTCGCTAATGTTCTACTAATCTGGGATGACGGCTGCCGGGCATCCAGTATGGTCTATGGCCTCTTGTTCTGTTGAATGCTCGGCGCCGGGCCTCGACGCTGCCCGACGCCACCTGGCAATTGCCCTCGCTCTCACCAGACCCCCGCTCTGGCAGAAAAAGGTGATCAGGGCTGTGCATCGATTCGTTTTCCAAACAGCCTTGCACGCCCCACTCGCAAGCCGCCTGCAGATGTGAACGGTCCGTTCCATCGCCGTCCTTGCTCAAGCCCTCCTCCTCCTCTCCTCCTCCTCATCTTTCTGTCCCATTGCGCCCAAAGTGTTGGCCTCTTGTTCTGTTGAATGCTCGGCGCCGGGCCTCGACGCTGCCCGACGCCACCTGGCAATTGCCCTCGCTCTCACCAGACCCCCGCTCTGGCAGAAAAAGGTGATCAGGGCTGTGCATCGATTCGTTTTCCAAACAGCCTTGCACGCCCCACTCGCAAGCCGCCTGCAGATGTGAACGGTCCGTTCCATCGCCGTCCTTGCTCAAGTCCTCCTCCTCCTCCTCCTCCTCTCCGCCTCCTCATCTTTCTGTCCCATTGCGCCCAAAGTGTTGGCCTCTTGTTCTGTTGAATGCTCGGCGCCGGGCCTCGACGCTGCCCGACGCCACCTGGCAATTGCCTTCGCTCTCACCAGACCCCCGCTCTGGCAGAAAAAGGTGATCAGGGCTGTGCATCGATTCGTTTTCCAAACAGCCTTGCACGCCCCACTCGCAAGCCGCCTGCAGATGTGAACGGTCCGTTCCATCGCCGTCCTTGCTCAAGTCCTCCTCCTCCTCTCCTCCTCCTCATCTTTCTGTCCCATTGCGCCCAAAGTGTTGGCCTCTTGTTCTGTTGAATGCTCGGCGCCGGGCCTCGACGCTGCCCGACGCCACCTGGCAATTGCCCTCGCTCTCACCAGACCCCCGCTCTGGCAGAAAAAGGTGATCAGGGCTGTGCATGAACATATACTGTTTGGCGCTCCGCGCGGATGTTTTGGATCCGCTCTGGGCCCCCCTGGCGGCTCCTCCGGCGCCGCCCCTGGCGCGCTCCGCGCGCCAGGGACGGGGGTCCGATCGAAGAAATCCGCGCGGAGCGCCAAGAATTTATGTTTATGGCGTTTTTTTTTCTATGGCTTGCGTTTTGCTTGGACCTCCTGAGCCACACTTGAACGATCCATCTTGGAGCCCCTGGGGCTGGCCTGAGGCCCTCGAGGGCCATCCTGTGGGAGTCTTGGGAAATCTTGGCGGCATCTTTGGCCATACCAAAGGCCGCGGCACAGCACTCATCGGGCCGTTCCGGGAGCCTCTCTGGTGACCTTTACTCTCAGAGGCATCGTTGGTAAATTTGGTGGGTCGTATTTGGGTTTTCTTGGAGCAGATCGGACCGCTCTACGCCCTCTGATCTCTTTCTTGGGCCGTCTTGCGACACTCCTCGGCGCCCTGGGGTCTTAGAGACATCCTGGGCCGAAGAGATTTGCAGGCAAGAGTCACCGAACAACGTCTGCTCTATCTGTGTGTGGCTAAGGGAGGCCTCCCTCCCTGCGACAGAGAAAGACGGGTAGAGAGAGGGAGACAACGATAAAGAAAGAGAGAGGGAGAGACAGATAGGAAAAGAGGTAAAAGAAAAGAGAAGGGTACACAGAGGAAGAGAGAGAGAGAGAGAGAGAGAGAGGAAGAGAGAGAGTCATGTGCGGGCTGTGGCGCAGGCGCTGCGGCGGGCCAATCGCGGGCGCCCGTGACGCCTCCATTGCCGTCTACGAGGGCGCGCAGGCGGGGAGGGAGGGGAAAGGTAGGAAAGGACGGCGTGCGATGGAGGGCGCTCGTGCTTGTGATTATACCAGCTCTGCGAGCGCAGACACCGCGAGCGTCGGCTTCGGCGCGCCAGAGTGCAGAGCAGGTGTGGCTTGCGACGTCTTGCTGACGCCCCCCCAAAAACATTAGCAATGGGGTTCGTGTCTGGCCTCTCGGCGCACTGCATCGTCTCATTGGTACGATGGGGCAATTTATCTCGAGCGGCTCCAGGATAGCCGGGGGTCAGGGCCTTGGCCACATCATGGCTGCTAATGTTTTAGGACGTGATCTGGCTCAGACCCCTTTTGACTTTACAGTCGGCCCGTATCATCATGATGCACGATTAGGATGCAAGGGCCTTGTACGCCCATTTCGAAGCTTTTCGAACGGGGCGCAGCCAACGAAAGTGGCCAAGGATGGGCCGAGGAGGCAAGGCTGCAAAGGTACCCTTGGGAACGTTGCCCATCCTTACCATGCGGGCCAGGGCGGAGTCATGGTCGTATCAACCAGCTGAGTGTGCACGTCTCGGTCCCATGGCGTGCCGTTACGCCGTTTCATGGTAGCCAACGGCCCCTCCACCCCTGGTGGTCCTTGCTCCAAGTGCCGACTGGGAGCATGGACAGGAGTCGTTCGGGAACCGGTTTCGAGTGAGGTTGGTGGCGAAACGAATTGATCGCATGCAGCGACGCGCTTAGCACATGGACAGGCGACACATCACAAGCTAGCGCGCCCCTGGCACTGCTGGCCACAGGCGGAGTATCAGTGTAACCTGTGCACGGGTTTAAGGATCTCCACCTGCGGCCCCACTGGCACTGTCCGTATGGCGGTGCCGCCCATTTCAGCACGACCTTGACGAGAATTGTGACCTCATTTTGGAATTCCCAGCACGGCCTCAGCGGGAGGGTCAGCCAAGCAACGTCCATGTGGAAAACAACATGCGGCAATACCGTCGAGTATGATTTGCACAGAGCGCGGTTGTGTTGTGTCCAGAGAATAAGGTGGTCCGTGCGGCGTCAGGCTTCGTGGCCAACCCCGTGAGAGCCGATGATCAGGTCAAGCTCAGCTTTTGGCTCCAAGAGCTGCCGCTCATTTGGATCGCCGTGGTTCCTCCTCCTTGCGTGGAGGACTTCTGCAGACTCGGGGATGATCTCGAGGGCGCCCTTGTGGAAGGCTTCATTTCTGGGGGGGAGGGGGGGCGCCAGCGACTGTCAGGACACCAAGCAAACCGCCCTTAGGCGCGTCGCCTGGTCCCGGGTTCTTGTCACGGGGTTGTTAGAAGGAGGTTAGCCCCGATTCGCCCATTTGAGCATCCTAGCATCCCACGAGTCAGGCGATCTACCAAAAAGGGAGACGCCTAAGGGCTTTACGCTTCTTGGAGTTCGCGACGGGTGTCTTCCCCTTGGGCGGTGCACATGTTCCAAATCAGTGTTTGCACTTCGCGGGTCTTACTTGTGTTCTAAGAAACTTGGCCATGTCTTCGGTCTGGCGGCTATGTGGTCGCCGTCGCCGCCCCGTCGCTGCGTTGTCGCCGCTCGTCGTCTGGGCCGTGGCTTCAGTCTGGCGGCTATAATATGGTCACCGTCGCCGCCCCGCATCTGCCTCGTAGCCGCCCGTCGTCTTGGCCGTGTCTTCGGTTTGGCGTCCACGCGGTCGCCGTCGCTGCCCCGTCGCCGCCCCGTCGCCGCCTCGTCGCCGCCTCGTCGCCGCTGCTGGATTGCTCCACGTGGGCTGCACGAACAAGAGAACACGCCGGCGGCGGAGGACGACGAGGAGGAGGGGAAGGAGGAGGAGGAGGAGGAGGAGGAGGAGGAGGAGGAGGAGGAGAAGCGAGAATGAGGAGGAGGAGGAGGATGAGGAGGAGTCGGAGGAGAAGGAGCAGGACGAGCAGCGCGGGGCAGTCTGGAAGGCCACGGGCGAGTGCGATGGAACAGCCGAAGTGGCACGCGGGATGCATCCCTCGCTAGTTTTTGGGACGCCCCCCGCCCCCCCCCCCGAAAGAAGTGCGGACGGGCAGGCAGTAGGCGGATGAATGAGCGAGCGAGGATGAGGAAGAGGAGGGGGGGAAGAGAAGGGAGGCGCAGTGAGGAGGAGGAAAAGGAGCGACGAGGAGGACAAGGAGGAGGGAGAGGAGCAGGAGAGACGAAAGGAGCGAATGAAGAGAGGAGCGAGGGGTGAAGGCAGGGAGGGAGGGAGGGCGGCGAGAGTAAATGGATGGATGGAGGGAGGGAGGGAAGGCGGGACGACCCCACCCCTCCTGCCGCTGCCGCGTGGACTGCCAGGCAGCACCGCGCCGACCCCGAGCGCCACGCCCGCCCGCCGCCGCCCCCCGGCGACCCCGGCGCCTGGCGCGGGGCCCCGGCGGAGCCCCGCGACGCCGACGGCCGGCGGCGACTGATGGCCCGATTTTCGGGAGCCTCGAGACGGGGGTCAGTGCAGACGGGGGTCAGCCAGAGCGCCAGATCTTGCAGGATCCTGCAGCGCCAGGGTCGCATTGACCCGGGTTTGGGTGCAGGATCCTGCAGGATCCTTCGCATTGACCCGGGTTTGGGTGCAGGATCTTGCAGGATTTTGCAGGCCCTGGCTGACCCGGGTCTGGATTGACCCGGGTCAGAAGATCCCCGAGATTTGAGCTTGATTTGTTTTAGATCACTTGCATGGCGTTCGACACCCCCCCCCTCGCCCCTCTTCAATCTAACACGAGCGTGCAGGTGCCTTTCGACTGGCGTGATTTCCGCACGTCGAGCTGTTTTCGGCTGTCTTCAGGCTCAGGCCCCCCCCGTCCATGCAAGTAAACTTGCTCGAATCTAGAAAAACATGCTCTTTCCCACCGCCACTACAATAGGTAGGAGACGGAGGAGGAGAGGGAGGAGGAGGAGGAGAGGGAGGAGGAGACGGATGAGGAGGAGGAGGAGGAGGAGGAGGAGGAGGAGGAGGAGGAGAACCTCCCTTCTCCACCGTCCTACGTATGGTAGTGGTGGTGGAAAGTTGGCCAATCAGCGACGGCAGTCGGCAGCGTCGGGCCCCAGGCATCAGGGGCGTTCACGGTTCGGTCTGTTCGGCTGCGTCGCAGGAGGTGGCGTGCGGTCGGCTCGGTTTGGTCGGTTGTCGTGTCGCTGCCGCGCCGCTGCGCCCTTCTGGGCTGCTTTTGCGGCCAGTCGATGTCGATCGGTTTCGGTTCTGCTGTCGGTTCGGCCGGTTTTCAGTGTTGCTATCGCCGTGCACGGCCTTAGACATGTTCGCGTCGTGACAGAATCAGAACGGGAGGCTCGTTGCCGTTGTCGGGCCTCTCGGGCGGCCCCCGTCGTGCCCCAGGACCGTCCAAACAAAAACGGCTCGGGGCGAAACATTGACCACGGGGAAAGGGTCGGGACTCTTTTGGGGACCGCGTATGGAACAAAGCGGAATGTCGCATATCTCTGGGGCTTTTCCGTGCCCTCAGATCCAGGCGCTGCCTTTGTTTCCCCCCCCTCCAACGAGCGTTTTCGCCTGGTTTCGTTTCGGGCCCCGGGACCCTCACCGAGTGATCCGGCTCGACAACTGACGCTGAAAGATGGGTTCGAAGGCTTCAGTCGCGATGTTTCGCTACAGTCATCGCGCACAGTGAAGATGGGCACTTTTCCAAGTTTACTCCTGCATTCTTGCCCCTTCGGCCCATCCTCGGCGACTTTCGCTGGCCAGCACAATTTGAAAAACGTCAACATGACCTTGCTGTTCGTTTTGATTGTGTGCTGCGTGCCCAGGGATCCGAGGCTCCGAGAAAATTGGAGCGGCCTCTGGCGGCCTCTTAATGGGCCCTGCGGGGTAGTGAAAGACATCCGATCGGGGCGAAGATCAGGCCCCAGGGCCCGAGGGGAGCGGTTGTAGGCCTCGTAGGCAGGGTCGGAGTAGATGGGGTCGGATGATTGCGCTTCATCGCCGATGCATCGGCGATGCGGTTCGATGCGGAGCTCGACTTTCTCCACGCCGACGTCGATGCAGCGCCAGCGTCGCTGGCGCATCGCCGACTCATCGCCAATGCCGGCGCGGTCCTCCCACCCCATCTGGGAGGCCTCCAGTCGGCGTCACCCCAATATACTTATACTATATGGGTATACTAGATGTTCGGGTCGGACGCGCGCCTCCAAGGAGGACATCTAGTATTAGTACGTCTCTGTGTGTCCCATCCAGTGGTCCAGTCCTCCTGGGGCCCACGCATCGAACAAACATGGTGCGCCCACTGTGTGGACAATGGAGGGCGATGCGGGTGTGTCGGGGGGGGGGGTCAAGACAGCACCTCTCGTGCACCCTATGGGGCCTCGCCTGGGCCCAGAAAGGCAGCACGGCACACGTCGTCACGGCGACGGCGACGGAATCAGATCTCCGACGATGTGGTCCCTTCATCAGAGCCCCGAATCATCAGGGGTAACTCGGGTCAGGGTTAACTCGGGTTCGTTTTTCGGGAATCCGAACCCGAGTTATCCCGGACCCGAGTTACCCCGGATAACTCGGGCGTCCAGAGCCCCGAATCATCAGGGGTAACTCGGGTCAGGGCTAACTCGGGTTCGTTTTTGCGGGGATCCAAACCCGAGTTACCCCGGACCCGAGTTATCCCGGATAACTCGGGCGCCCAAGAATCAGATCTCCGACGATGTGGTCCCTTCACTCCTGGGCGCGTTGCATCCATCAGGCTCCGGGGCCATCAGAAACCTTGGCATCGCTCGGACGTGTGTGTGTTTCTGTCGGCGAGGACCAAAGAGGAGCATCTTGGATCATTCGCGAACAGATTAAAGATGCACGCACGAAATCGAACAACACACGGGGAATGGCCGCCCGAGCGATGGCGAGCAACCGGATACTCAAGCGAAACATTGACCCCTGGGGGAAGCGGTTGGGACCTTCATAAGGCCGCGGAGTTCCAGGCCTCCTAGATGGGGTCCGAGTAGGTGGGGTCGGAGCATCGCGCCGTATCGTCGATGCAACGGAGATGCGGCTCGATGTGGAGCCCGGCCTCGTCCACGCCGGTGTCGCCGATGCGTCGCCGACGTCGCCGATGCATCGCCGATGCATCGCCGATGCATCGCCTTGGCGATGCGGCGCGATCGTCCGACCCCATCTACTCGGACCCCGTCTAGGAGGCCTCGAGGATTGGGGGCATCATATCTGCGGAGGTCGTGGATCGGCGGCGGCGGCGGATGCGGCGGCGGCTTCGACGGCGGCGGCGCCGGCCGTAGCCACCGCCGTCGGCGTCGGCCGACGACGGCTGGGGGTCGCCGCGGCCAGGCAGGGGCTCTGCTGTCGAGCAGGCGTCTGCAGGCCCGACGGCTTCCTCCGCGCTCCCTCCCAAGACTTGGCGGCGCGCCCGCCTCCTCCCCCTCCTCCTCCCCCTCCTCCTCCCTCCTCCTCCTCCCCCTCCTGCTCCTCCTCCCCCTCCTCCTCCTCCTCCCCCTCCTCCTCCTCATCCCCCTCCTCCTCCTCCTTCTCCTCCTCCTTCTCCTCCTCCCTCCTCCCTCCCGAGAAGGAGAAGGCGTACTTAGAAGGCTCGCAAGTCCGCCGGCCTTCTGAGAAGCTTTCTAAGCCTTCCCCGAAGACACAGACAGCTTCTCAGAAGGCGTGGGGGCTTCTGAGAAGTCCCGCCGCCTTCTAAGAGGGCTTTCTCCTACTCACTTCCCCCGGTCGCTCGCCGCCGAAAGACGTGCTCGCGTGGCGGTCGGGAAGGTCTTGGGCGCCAGTCGCACGACGCTGCGCCGCCCGTCGGCTTCGCCATCCGCAGGGGCGGAGGACCAGGCTCGGCGAGTTCTGAGGGCATCACGGTCCGTGGCAAGCCTGGCAGCGAGGCTCGACGCATGTTGTTCCTTCCTCCCTCCCCCCTCCTGCTGTTTGCCCGCTAGATGTGTGTGTGTGTGTGTGCGTGTGTGGTTCTTCTGTCTGCATGCCTGTCTGGCCCCCTCGTGGCCGCAGTTCGACGACCCCGTCTTGGATACGACGCCGCGTGCTCAGTTGTTCTGCCGCCCCCAGGCTTTCCAGGCCACTCCAGGGCGCTGCTGTGCTTTGCAAGCATGTCACCATATATAGACATACACGCCGGTCGTTGAAAGTAGGTATTTAGGGATCCCCAGATCCTAATCTATTTGAGCCGCCTTCCTACTTCAAGTGTCGAGCGGTTTTCTGTTCAGGGGGTGGGCGGAAACCCAATCTACTTCCAACGCCTTCCTACTTCATGTTTCTACCCACTTCTTCCAACCGACGGGTGCATGACTTCATGATTTTGCCGTGCAAGGTACTACTTCCGAAGCTGTGGTTTTGCCTGTCCTCTTCGGTTGCTCACCTGCACGTCGGGCCTGTTGGCTGTGATCGCGCTGTCCCCTTCTTGCGTCCCTCTCAGCTGGGGTACTGCAGTCGAGCGTTTCTTCTCCCATTCGTGTTGCATTGGTGCGCGAGGCGGCGGGATAGTCCATGGCGATGTGCGCTCGCCATCATAGGAAGTGACCCGACACCTGTTTGGTACTCTCCCTCTCCTCATCCTTCTCATACTGTCGGCCCAGATTAGTAGGTCGACCCTGCCAAATCAAGGGTACCCTCGTGTCCTGTGTCTTGCGACCCATGCCTCCTGCCTTTCTGTGGCAACGTGGCCCTCGGAAGGGTCTTGTGCCCTCTCGCGTGTCCTCTCCAATCGAGTCCGACTGTAGTCCTCCTCATCCTCATCCTCCTCATCCTCCTCCCTTCCCTCTGCAGGGAAGCTGCCCGGGCAGTAATTGTCATGGGTAGCCGGGCAGCTCGACCGGGCGCCGATTTTTGCGCCCGTTTGATCTGTGCAGAGGCGCAGCGAGCTCCCACCCAGCATTCCTTATGCGGCGTCGTCCCAGAGCACTGTCGCTTGTGATACAGTGTAGTTTACCACCATCAGCAGTGTTTTTGCGTGTCCTTTATGTCCACGGCAGGGTTGGTCCCCTAACGGCTGAGAAAAACAGCCAGCTGTGGTAGAGGAATGCAATTTTGGGGGTTGCCAGCCCGTCGAGTTTGAGCCCCCTCGGAGGGCTTCATTAGTGTTGTGCAGGCATTTTGCGTGAACCTCCTGGAGCACTGGGGAGGACAGTTTGTTAACCTCACTGCGGGCCCTGTGGATATTTCTTATAAAGAAATCACCGTTGGCAGCGGTGGTGCTTTGTCGATGCACCTCCCTGCGCCTCGCTGTCGCCGCCAGCACGCGTGGCCCCTCCTCGTTGTGTCCTCCTGCTCTTCGTCTTCAAAGACTTCAGGAGGGGACAAACATATACAGACACAAGTAATCGTCGATTCCTCGGAAATATGGGAAAATATGGGAAATGGGGGGGAGACAAAAACACAGAAAGTATGGGACACTATCGGGAATCCGGTTACTTGTGTCGATTTATTTGTGTGTGTGTGTGTGTCCCAGGGCCCCTTCAAGACTCCACTTCTTCCCGTGCTCCTGCCCCTCCTTCCAGCTCTGCCATCGTCACCGTCGCAGTCACGCTCTTGGATTATTCTCCCCTTCCCGACCTCCCCCCCCCTCGTCCTCTTCGTCGTCTTTCATGAGACCTCCGTGCTCAGGGAAGGGCTGTGCACCACGTGTTTCCGTAGCGTCTTCGGACTAAAGTCATATCCGAGACCGTCGCCCAACCTGCGACATCTCACAGCGAGCTGGGATTCCGGAGTATCCGAGCGCTCGCGAAGCGCGCGCGATGGTTCTAGTATGTATAGATTCGGTCCACAACCGCCCGCTGGGGTCCCCCAGGCGTCCCCCACAACCGTCCCCCTGGGGTCCCCCAGGGTCTAGTATGTATATATTCTAGTATGTATGTATTCGGGCGTCGATTCCCCAGGCGGTGGACAGATCTTCCCGCCCCGCAGGGAGATCGGGGAACAAGCAGTGACACAAAAACTCGGAGCTCCGCGCGGGCTCCTCGGATCGGCGCCGGGGTCCTCCTGGCGGCGCCTTCCGCGCCGCCCCTGGCGCGCTCTGCGCGCCAGGGAGGGGGGGCTCAGCGCCGACCGAGGACTCTGCGCGGACCTCCGAGCTGCTATGCTTCTGTTGCTGCTAGCTCCCGCCGGAGAGGGGCGGAGGAGTCGGGCGTGTCCCTCTACAGGAGGAGTATCCAAGACTTGTAAGCAAAACAAGCTTTGGGAACGATCCTCTGACTAATTTTGCCTGCTTTTGAACATGTGGGGCTATCGTTTATTTTTCGCCCAATCCGCCTGTAGGGGGACACGCCCGACCTAACCCTGGAGAGGGGCCTGGCGTGGCCGGTCCTCCGCAGGAGCCCGCTGCCGCAGCCAGCCCCCACATCCAGGAAACTGTTGTTTTTTTTGTCATTTTGCGCGCTGAGTTTTGTTCGCGGAATGGGAATCGGAGTGCTGCGTGGACCCCAGACGATGTCTGCGTGGCTTAGTGCAAGCGCTGTTTGGGAGTCGGCGGTGCGACCGTCGTCGTCAACGTCGGCTCCTCCTCCTCCTCCTCCTTCTCCTCCGCCTCCTCCTCCTCTTCCTCCTCCTACTCCTCTGCACGCCCCCCTCATCCGTTCTTTTCCTTTCCTCGGTGGTAGACAGAAAGAAGCAGCAGAGCCGGGAGCGCGCGGACGATGGGATTTTTTTTTCTCCCTGGGAGACCTTCTTAGCAGCCGCGGATGTGCCAGCCCTCGCCCAGCTTCCGAGAGGGGCCTGGCGTGGCCGGTTCTCCGCAGGAGCCCGCGGCGCAGCCGGTCCCCACCTCCGAGCCCGGCGCCTGCCCGGGGCCCCCTGGCGATCTCGGCGCAGGAGCGCCCGGCGCCCTTCTTTCATCGGGAGAGAGGAGGTCAGGAGGGGGAAAACACGCACACACACACACACACACACACACACGCACCCACACACACACATAGACACAGATACACACACAGACACAGACACACACACACACACACACTCACACACACACACACCACAACACACACACAACACACACAACACACACACACACACACACAACACACAACACACAACACACACACACATACAACACACACACATTACATACACAGACAACATACACAGCACAAGTTCAACGGAGAAGAAAAAACGCCATAAACATATTTTTGTTTGCGCTCCGCGCGGATTCCTTGGATCCGCGCTGGGCCCCCCCGGCGGCGCCTCCGGCGCCGCCCTTGGCGCGATCCGCGCGCCAGGGAGTGGGGTCCAACGCGTTTTTGTTTGTTTGTTTGTTTTTCCCGTTCTGGCACAGTGAATCGTCGATTCCAGACGAAAACACAACATATATCGCGAGAGATCGGGGGTGGACAGAGCCCCCATCTTGACTCATCTATTAGTGAATTGTACGGTTTCGGTTCTCGAGAGGGCGCCGCGGCCGTCATTTTCCAGGCTTGCGCCCGCCAGGTTTGGGCCCGAGGTCGTTATTCACTAAACCACGTATTGCTAGAGGGGTTTCTGTCCATCCCCGAAGAGAGAGAAAGTCAGGAGGGGGAAACACACGAGCACAATGCACGAGAATATGGCAAAAGAGGGAAAGCGGGGGGAATACGAAAGCCCATAATACATACATACATACATACATACATATATATATATATATATATATATATATATATATATATATATATATATATATATATATTCACATATCCACATCTATACACATATGTGTATATATATATGTGTATATATATACACCAGTATGGGGAAGCCTGGGATTTGTGTGTATTCCTTTGTGTGTCCCATGGGCTCTTCAGGGAGACGCGCTCGGAGGAGCGCCCCTCGGCGTCGCTCGGACGTGCGCGCGGTCTTTCTCGGCGGGAGGCCTCGAGGAGCATCCTGTCCGAGGCAGGAATTTATACATGACCACCGCCTGGAGGATCAATTTTCGGTGACCTCAGCAGGCGGTGGATATGGACATATTCGGACCCCCGCCCCAAGGGGGCTCCATGTCGGCGTCAGACGGGCCTGGAGCCCACCAAGACGGCCCAAGATGGCTCAAAGATGGCCCAAGACGGCCCAGGAGGCCTCCAAGAGGGCCTCCAGGAAGGCCCGAAGATGCCAACATCATTGATTTTCCTTCCAAGAGGCCCCCAAGAGGGCCCCAAGACGGCCTCAAGAGAGCTTCAAGCAGCACAAGAGAGCTCCAAGACGGCCCAAGAGAGTTCTCAGGGAGCCTTGGGAGTTGGAGAGGACCCCAAGAGGGCCCCAAGACGGCCTCAGCCCCTCATGACGGACGTCCGAACAGGGCCCACAGACGGGCCACAAAATGCCCCAAAGGATTCCCAAGGAAGGCCCGAAGCGATCCCAGAGACTGCCACGATGCTTCCAAAAGGCTCTCAGGAGGCGTCCGAGTAGAGAAGCTTACGGGAGGTCTCGCGTCTACGTTCTGCAAGATCCATCTCAGGGCTTCCAGAGGCCCCGCAGAAACATGCCGCGGGGCGCTGGGAAGCAACCGCGACACCCCGAACTCACGGTGGAGGCCAGGTGTGTACCGCCATGGGCGGGAGGGCGGCATACGAACGTTGGCTTTGGGACTGTCGGTGGAGCTCCCAGTGGGACACGATCCGCGTGAGAAGCCCAGTCGCCCTAGGGGGAGGTGATGTTATGCGAATCCTCTCACACCGGGGCACGTGAAACCGCGTCCTTCTGGCGCACAATCCGTGTGATGGGTGCGCTGAGATGGGCGGAGGGACGCCGTCGTGGCCTTGGGGTTCATTGCTTTCCTCGGGGTTTCCTGGGGGTCTCCTCTCTGTCCTCTCGTCGTCGTCGTCGTCGTCGTCGCGGTAGTCGTGACAGTCGTCGCAGATGTCGTCGTCGTCGTCGTCGTCCTCGTAGTTGCGGCGCCGTTGTCGTCGCCGCCGCTGCTCCTGTCGTCTGTCACGCTCCTGTCCACGATGCCGGGGGGCCTGGGGCCAGGGGCTCGACGGCGCTTGGGGGGCCCCAGAAGTGCCCAAGAGGCGACTGGAGGCTCTCGGGCGCTTCTGGGGTGCCACGAAATCACTCCCAGACGCCCGCGGTCGCCTCCAGATGGTCCACCGTGCACCCAAGGTGTTCCACGAAACTTCCAGACGGCCCAAATGCGCCCCAGACGATCCAAACCCCGACGGCCCCCAACAGGGCCACGAGAAGCAACAGTCATAATTTCTCGTCGGGTTTTGATGTTTTTGAGGTCCTTTCGGCTTGCCGGCGCTCCAACCCAGCCCCAAGCCGTTCTGGCTCAGGTTTCTGCTTGCGCTTGCGCCAGCCAACTTCAGAACGGCATTGCTGTTGCGGGCCAAGGTGGCTCGTTGTCCTGCTCATTCTTACCAGCTGTGTGCATCACAGCTACAGATTCAAGACGGCACTCTGCACAGCATGGGAAAAAAGGCCCAGGCGGCGGCGCTCGTTCCAAGGGAGAGAAGGGCCGCCAGGGTTTCTACTATGCGCCGTGGGCCCAAGGAGATGGCGGCAAGGGCCCGAATGTTCGCAATGTTTGGCCTCTTCTCGTCCTTGGCCTTCAGTCTCAAGTGCCATCCTCAGCACCAAGTGGAATGCGCTGGACGTGCAGTGCCTGCTGATGCGGTCGCAACGCCAGCTGGTTCACGTGGTGCAGGCATTGTGGCGCGTCCAGACACGGGCTGCCGACAGTGTCTGGAACAACGCGTCCAAGGGCGTCCACCAGTACGCACCGCCTGGTCACCTCAAGGGCGGCGGCGGTGGCTCCTCGGCGGCAACTGGCGGAGCTGGAAGCGCGGTCGGGGCCCCCGACACTCAACCTGCTGTGCCCCCCAAGTTGTCTCTGGAGGAGGATCAGCAGATGGCGACGCTCTGTGAGAAGATGGGCGACGCTCGTTCGGCACAGTCATGTCGGATGGCAGCCCAAGCGCTTCAAGCCCCGCGTCTTGCCAGCCTTGAGGTAGGTATTCAGCAGGCTCGCTCCAATGCCCGTCAGGTTGAGTATAAGCTGGAGGGTGCTGTGCTCGAGTCCTAGACCATGCAACGGGAGCTCCAAGCCCAAGGTAGGCATGTCGCCAGCCTCAGGGAGGAGTTGGAGAGTTCGGAGAAGGAGCACAGCGACCTGGTGCGCCAGCTACACGCGCAGCTCAAGGCCCCTCTTTCTGACGGTGAAGCACCACAGCCGAAGACCAGCATAAACGACATTCTCGATCCCAACAAGCTGGGAGCGCTTCTTGACCGGTCAGCTGCTGGCACCCTCAAGATGGACGAATGCGTGTACGAACTCATGCCTGAGGACAAGCAGGAGCTGGAGGCGCGTGCTACCCAACTACCTGAAGGCATCTCAGGCCTCGCAGGCAACCTCTTCCGCGACGCGAAGGAGAAGGTGGGCGCACTCCGGCAGGAGCACGAGGCCCACCTCAAGAGGCTCGCGGCGAAGCGCCTGCGCTCCGACAGTGGCGAGAAGGCTGCCAACGGCCCAGGCTCGGCAGGTGCCTGTGCTGCGGCGGCCCCAGATGATTCCCCCCCTCCCGCCGAAGCAAAACCAGCTGCTGATTCCCGCGCTGAAGGTCAGGCTGCCGCCTCTGCTTCGTCCTCTGAGCCCCGGCCTGGCACGCGCGATCGCGCAGCCGAGATCGCCGCGGCTTCGGCTTCAGCTTGGGCCGCCCCTGGAAGCCCCTGAGCGCTCGTTCTCGCCCAGGCTCCTCCTGGCCTGGCTTCGGGGCCTGGGCTCAGATTTTTTGTTTTTTCGAGGGGGCTTCCCAGGCTTTGTTTTCTACCCAGCGCTGTGCTTTTCGGCCCCCCCGTCGCAGCCCCAGATCCAGCAATGGAGTCGCGGGCCTCCGATTGTCTTTAAATATTCTGGCTTTCAGGTTTCAGCCCTATCCGCCAGGGAGCGATGATCTTCGCTTTCTGTTCGAGCCGATGCCGTGCTTCACCCGCCTCCTGTCAATCCCATGCCTCGCAAGGCTAGTGGCTACAGCAGGGAGGTTGCCTGTGCGCCGATCGATTTTTCTCGCTCTGCCAAGCTTTACCCAGTGCTCTCTATCGGCAGCAAGCAGGGCAGCAATGAGACCTCCGCGGTCGCATGCGTGGCGCCGCCGCTGCCAGACCGCGCGCCAGGCCCGCTAGTGTTGCTGGCCATTTTGCGAGGCGCGACAGCGCCATCGCTGGCGATGTTGGCGGACCTCTCCTGCCCCCACCTGTTGCTGGACCGCTGCCAGACTGGTCTCAGAATGCAAGGCCTGATGTCTCGGATGCCTGGGCTTTTTTTTCCCGGCGTGCCCGCGCCAGAGCCAGCGATCGTTTCAGCTGAGTCCGAGTCGATTCCTGATTCTAATAAGGTTGAGCCCTGGGGCGCCACGAAGGATCTGCTCGAAAGCTACTCGCGCGCCCATGTCATTTCGTGCCTGGGGCACCGTTTGAGAGGCGCTGACGCGGAGGCTGCCAGCTCTCGGTGCTTCGAGAGAGGCTGGAAACCGTATTGGACAGATGCTGCGACCACGGTAGCTGGCGATGCCTCAGCTGGAGTTGCAACGTCTGTAAAATCACGGCCAGGCTTGCAGAGCATGGAAGGGGGGGATTGCACCCAGGCGCTGTCTCGCTGGTTGTGTTTATCGCCCCGGTTGCCCCCCCCATCGCCGTGGGGCCGTTTTATCTTTTATCATTCTGAAGACCTCTCAGGCCGCAATCGCAGCATCTTGTTGCAAATTGGCTACGTTCTGTCGCGAAGTACCTAGTCTTTCGTTGCGGGCGCGGACCGCAACTTCGAGCCCCCGCTTCTAGAGGGGCCAGGCTTTGCTAGCGAGCTGCGCGGCACTGTCGTTGCCCCTTTGGCCTGCGCGCTTTCCTTCGGGAGCTGCCGGCGCGTTCGATTATTTCGCGTGCTCGGGGGGTCTGGCCAAAGCCACTCGAGCTGGCGAGGTTGACTGGTCCACCTCTCCCTCGCCCCATCGCCCTGTGTGCCTTCGCTTCTTTCCTCAACTTGCGGCTTTACAGGCGCTGAGTTGTCGTGACCCCCCCCCCCCCCGCCCGTCGAGCCTGCGTTCGGCCCTCGCCCCGGCAGAGTCTCGCGGGCCCGGCAGCTGAGAAAGCGCTTGGCCGCGTTAATGGCGGCGGCTACAAGGGGGCCGTCAGCCGTTCAGGGCCCCATCCGCCAGGCTTGGGCGAACCATGCTGAGAAAGATTTGGCGCCGATCTTCCGGGCGGAAATCATTAAGCTGCGCGCTCGAGGTCTAGGGCCCCAGCTGGTGGGGCGCTCCATCTTCGCTGGGGGAGGCCGCGCCGAGCGCCCCGAGCTCCGGGCAATCAAGTGCCTCGTTGCACGGCGGCGCGCGCGCATGCTCTTCAGGCGCTCTGGCCACATCCGCCGGGAGTCTGCGCTGGGCAATCTTCTCGCCGAGCCTCCTGCGCACATAGCCAATCATGTTGGCGCCCGTGCTCAACTTTTTGCTCGCGCTGCTGACTTGGCCCGAGCCTCCGCTCAGTAGGCCCCCTCTTCAGATTTTGAAGCTTTCGAGACTGAGGCCAAGAGCGAGCTCGGCATGGCCACCGAGCTTCCTGGCCGGAAGTCCCGAGCTGATTGGTCAGCTTGGCTGCGCGTGGGCACTGATGCCAGTTCCAAGCGCGCGCCAAATCATTCGGGGCCCGTCTCCCTGGGCCCCGCCCTCCACCCTCGGCGCTCGAGGCTGCGCGGTGCCAGGTCCCTTGTCGCTGCTCAAGGCTGCAGGCGACGTCTTTGCGGCGTTGTGGGGAAGTGGGGAGGGGGCCAGGCCTGTTTGGATTCTTGATTGATCCGTTACCTCGGTTATCGGTTGAAGAGATTCGGGCTGTCTCCAAGCGTTACAAGAGGGATTCCGCTGTGTATCTCGATGGTTTCCACTGTCGCCGCTATCGCCTGCTTGGGGATCAGGCGCTCGCTTGTTTCAGTATGGTCATCGAGCTGATGGAAGCGGTGGGAGCTCCCCGTCTTCAGATTTACGCATCGCTGTCGGCTCTCCTCTCGAAGCCGAATGGCGGGCGCGGACCAATTGGGGCGTTCTGTTCCTGGCACAGGGCGCGGGGGCGGGAGCAGCAACTCCCCGGGAGGTGCTGGGCTGCTGGCCAGCGTCGAGGGGCGGTGGATGTTGTTTGGCCTCAGGCTGTCAAGGCTGAAAAGGGGCCGCAGCTGATGGCCAGTGTTCCTGCTCGATTCTCTTCGACCTTAGGAGATTCCATAAACCATCAGCCCTGTGGAGCTGGAAGATCGATGCTACAGACATGCCCCCCCCCCCCCCCCCTCCCTGCGCTGACGCGCCTTTCCCTGTTTGCCTGCAAGTGTGGGCGTTTTCTCTGCCTGGGCGGGGTCATGGATGGCACTCGTTTCGTTGCCAGATGGGGCCATCGCGGGATGCTCTTGCGCCGCCGCCCTCGTCGGGGCCCATGGAATGGATGGATCTGATCGCCTCGGTCCCAAGCCCAATCGTGGTGTAAACGTGTGCATTAATGATCAGGGCATGTCATGCGACGGGTCGTCTAAGGCCGCGGTGCCCAGCATTGTCTCAGGGGCCCGCAATTTGCATTCTATTGTTGGGGGCGTCTTAGTCTGCAGTTTCGCTGCGGGGAAAACTGTCACCGCCGCCTCATCTAAGCACGTTGGAGAGCAAGTCGCTGCCCAGATTGCGGATATTTGCACTGTTGGCTCGTCCTCTGCCATCAATTTAGGCGTTGGCTGCACTGCGGGTCGCGCCCTCAGGGCCCAGGGCAGATGGGCCAAGCTCATGGCCAGGATCGCGGCGACCTGCAGGAAGGCGTCTAGACTGCGCAAGCAGAATAAGGCGCTCAAGAGAAGCACCATGATTCGGGCCTTTTCTGCTGGCCCGCTGGCGGGAGCGAGTTACGGAAGTGAACTGACGGGTGCGTCAGACCATGACTTGCTTTTCCTACGTCGTAAACTTTTCAGTATTGCCCGTCCGCATGTTGAGCTCCGCTCGCTCACCACTCTGGCCATTCTAGACAGTGATCCTTGCTGGCGCAGTGCTTGTGCGCCTGCCATTCGCTGGTCCAAGGAAGCGTGGCTGGCCCAGACGTTCAAGTTTGAGTGGTCGATTGAGATGTCCGAGCTGCGCCGTGCTTTTTTTCAGCGAGGGCAGTTGCTCATGGCGAAGCGTTGCGCCCCCCCCCTCTCTGCGCTTCGCATGTCGGTGTTCAGGCATGCCTGGGCCATGTGGGACTTCATGGCCATTAGAGACGACAGGGGTTGCAAGGTTCATTCAGGCGTCATTCCTCCCTCTCTCATCAAACAGCTCTGTCAAGAAACTTACGTCGGCACGTTAGCAGGGGATGCCGCGACCAAACGAGGTTAACCCCGCTGGGTTTGCTTTGACATTGCGAGGGGGTCTCTTGCCAGCGAGAAGTTGACCCCGCCTTTTAAACAGAGAGTCGCATTCGTGCCTTTGCCGCCGAGGCCTCCCCCGCCGGGCAGCGCGCGCTCGTGCGCGATGTTTCACCGAATCTGGACATGCAACCATGCGTCGGTCACTGCCATCAGAGGGGGGGGGCGAAGGCTTCGGACATTGAGACGCCCCTCAGGGCCGAAGAGTTGGGCGGGAGCTTTCGCCCACCCCGCCGACCCCTATCCCAGGCCCGCCACGGAAGACTCTGGCGGTCCTGTTGTTGTGTGGCATAATTAGGATCAGGTTCCGCCCACGGGCGAGTGTGCTTTCGCTGCGATGTGGGGCCCCTTCTTCATTGATGGCCCCTGCTTACGTCACCCTGTGAAGGAGCTCAGTCGCGCTGGTTCTTGCGTTGCCATGGTTAGTGACAGCAGCTCGCTTTTGGCTGAATTTCGCGCTCCAGTCTGGGCCCCGTGCTTCCAGACTCCTCAGAGTGCAGATTGTTCAGCGTGCACCTGGGCTCATATGCTCAGCATGTCTGGACATTCCCTAGCTCTGTCGGACTGCGCCAATGTAGCCAGGCTTGTTAATGATCTCAGTTCTTTGCGCTTGTCTGGCAAACGTGTTTTTGCTTGTGCTTTTCCTCCAGTGCTCCTCCTCCTCCTCCTCCTCCTCCCCCTCCTCCTCTCTCCTCCCGTGCGTGAAGGTTGCGGATGTTGGCGCGAAACATGCCGCCAGCTTGCATCCCCGTGGTGATGTTGCCTTGTCTGCCATGGACAAGATGGCGCGCTCTGCTCGTTGCGCACTCAAACTTGCATCTAGATTGCCTCATCTCTGGGAGCATTCAGATCTCTTTGAAGTTGAGCTCGTCAAGGCCACGCCAGTTCCCCATGGTCCCGGGCACCGCTTGCGGTTTTCGGCTGGATTGTGGCGCTGTGAGGTTTGTCTCAAGGGCAAGCGTTCCTTGGATTGCCCTGAGCCTGGTAGGCGTCGAATTTCAGCAAGCTGCATGCATCCAGATTGGACGCGCTCAACCGCAGTGCTATTGCGTTTGATTGTGATGAGCACAGTGTGCTGTTCATGCATAGCAGATGTTTCCGTTATTCCAGTGGGGCCAGTGCTCGTGGGCTGGCCGAGCGCTGTCTGGGCCCCACTAAGCCTATGAAGAGTGCTTGGAACAACTTGCGCAGCAAGGGGCAGCACCCGCTGGTCAGCAAAAGGTTTGTGAGAGGTCACGCGGGCAACATCATACAGCGCTTCGGCTCCGCAGTGCAGTGCGTGTCGCAGTCAGATGGCAATGCAGACAGCAGCCTTGCTCATGCAGCTGTTTCCTCGTCTTTCGGCCATGATGAGGCGTCTCTCAACATAGCCGCGAGCGGCGATTATTCGGTCGAGACCGTTCAGAGAGCTTTCGCTTGGCGCATGTCTGAGCCGTCGGACGCATTGGCCACGAACAAAGGAGCCAAAGTGCCCTTCTGTACTGGCGCCCCTCAGCAGAGCTCGCCTGCAGCCCCAGGTCCTAGCGTGAGTGGCAGCTTGCAGAGGAGCGCGTCTGGTCGCAGATCCCGCCTAGCTTCTACTGCGGAACTTCTTCGGGGAGCGTCTCTCTTGCGCGTGCGGGGTGCCATCGCCCTCGAACAGAATGAGTGCCCTCTTCTGCGATCTCAGGAGGCGGGATCTGGCGACTCATACGAACTTTTCTGTTGCAGCCTGTGTCTCCCACCGCCGCCAGACGTCCTGCATTTGGTGGAGTCGAGCTGTTGAGGTTTTTTATACAACAAGCTGCCCCCGAAGCACCGCCACCCGCTTCAAGACGGTTTTAAGAGCTCCCCCAGGCGCGCCCAGGGTATTCAAGAGGCCCCAAAGCCACCCCATTACATTTCCAGAACAGCCCAACAGGGCACCGAGTTGCGCCCGAGTCGCCGGAAAATCATTCCCAGACGACCGCATTTTTCTCCTGATCCCAAAAACAGCGCAAACCCTGAAGGTTACCACATATTTTCACCTCTCGAGGCACTCGTCTGGGGCCTCGGGAGCCCAGTGAGGCCTGCCCAGGGCTGGCCCGGCGCAGGCTGGAAGCCTTCGGAGGCCGCTCACAAGGCATCTTCGGCGCTCTCGGGGTGTGATGGACGGATCTGGTAGATTGTCTCACCACTTTGTGTGCCATTTGTGCGCCCACGGGACCACTTTGGGGGCCACGAGGGCGC